AATAAAACAAATAAAACAAATAAAATAAAAAAGCAAACCTTTATAAAGAGTGAAGGACTCCAAACAAACAAAACAAAACAAATAAAAACAAATAAAAATAAAAACAAATAAACAAATAAACAAATAAATAAAACAAACAAAAGCAAACCTTTATAAAGAGTAAAGGACTCCAAATAAATAAATAAACAAACAAAACAAATAAAACAAATAAAACAAATAAAATAAAAAAGCAAACCTTTATAAAGAGTGAAGGACTCAGCGCCTCTGACGAGAACAGCTTCATCTGCTTTTAAGGCGGAGACGAAAAGCATCAAAACAATCATTTCGGGTTTTAAAGTGAAAAGCAATTCTTCTTGCGCCAAGTGCTCCGCATGCATCGTCAGGCCCCCTAGGAATCGATCCGCAAAGTCCACCTGCAGCAGCAGCAGCAGCAGCAGCAGCAGCAGCAGCAGCAGCGGCAGCAGCAGCAGCGGAGGAGGCCGTGGTCACGCTGCATAGACACCCGAAACAGCTGCCTAGACACCCCAAAGAGCTGCCTATACACCTGAAAAGCTGCCTATACACCTGAAAAGGTGCCTATACACCCGAAAAAGGTGCCTATACACCCGAACGAGCTGCCTATACACCCGAACCACCTGCCTATACACCTGAAAAGGTGCCTATACACCCCAAACACCTGCCTATACACCTCAAACACCTGCCTGTACACCTCAAACACCTGCCTATACACCCGAACGAGCTGCCTGTACACCCGAAAAAGCTGCCTATACACCCGAAAGAGCTGCCTATACACCCGAAAGAGCTGCCTATACACCCGAACGAGCTGCCTATACACCCGAACGAGCTGCCTATACACCTCAACGAGCTGCCTATACACCTGAATGCGGGGCGGACCTGGATGGCGCCGTCGGCTTTGGTGATGTCTCCACTTAAATGAACTTCAATTGGAAATAAAGGAAGTTTGTCTTGGAGAATATTTTCGAGTTTTATTTCGGGACGAACAACTTGGAATCCTTCGGGAGAAGTGAAGACAGTTTCTTGCGGGACTTGGAAGTAAAAACTAATTATTTCATCAGCAGCAGAAATGTGCTTCTTCGTCCCCAGAAAGGTCACCTCCGTGCAGCTGCAGCCGCTGCTGCTGCTGCTGCTGCTGCTGCTGCTGCTGCTGCTGCAGTGCAGCGGGCCCACGTCCCCGCGCTGCAGCATTTGCTGCCAGCAACCCCCCAGAGTTTGCTGCATCTGCCGAAAGTACTGCAGCAAAGACTGGAACTTGGGGGCCCTTTCGAAGTAGCCTCTGTAGTGCATGTCGGGGGCGTTCATCTGCAGCTGCTGCTGCTGCTGCTGCTGCTGCTGCAGCTGCTGCTGCAGCAGCAGCCGCTGCCGCGGGAATATCACTCCGAAAAATAAAGCAGCAAGTAAAGCCAAGACTTCTATTCGCCGCAAATGCACCACCGGGTT